GGAGGCCATTGCTAGCAGGTTGGAGGCCATCGCTATTAGGTTGGAGGCCATCGCTGATTAGGTTGGAGGCCATCTCTCTCAGGTTGGAGGCCATGGCTATTGGGTTGGAGGCCATCGCTGAGTAGGGTGGAGGCCATTGCTAGTAGGTTGGAGGCCATTGCTAGCAGGTTGGAGGCCATCGCCATCAGGTTGGAGGCCATCGCTATTAGGTTGGAGGCCATCTCTCTCAGGTTGGAAGCCATGGCTATCAGGTTGGAGGCCATTGCTATCAGGTTGGGGGCCATCGCTAGTAGGTTGGAGGCCATTGCTTGTCAGGTTGGAGGCCATCACTATCAGGTTGGAGGCCATTGCTTGTCAGGTTGGAGGCCGTCACTATCAGGTTGGAGGCCATTGCTTGTCAGGTTGGAGGCCGTCACTATCAGGTTGGAGGCCATTGCTTGTCAGGTTGGAGGCCATCACTATCAGGTTGGAGGCCATTGCTTGTCAGGTTGGAGGCCATCACTATCAGGTTGGAGGCCATTGCTTGTCAGGTTGGAGGCCATCACTATCAGGTTGGAGGCCATTGCTTGTCAGACGTGTTGGTTGTTGGACCCACGCCGAGATGCAGATCGCTCAGCGGCGCTTTTGGACTCGAAGGCCGTCTGCGCATGGCTCTCGGCAGATGCCACCTGTGACGGTTGTGAGACAAATCCACGAGGGCACCGATCTATTTTGTGGCAAAGCCTGCCGAACTGTCGAAGGTTCACGAGGGCAGTTAAGTTGATGAGAGCTGGCAGCGGCCAACTCACATGAACCCTGATCCAGACTAGATCGAAGCTCTAGGCAGGAAACAAAAAATAAAGGTCTCAGCTCTTGGACTCTGGTGTACAGAATGCAGAGACCGCACACACAAAGGAACTCATGTATAGAACTTTCTTTAGACCTTTCTTCTTTTAGACCTTCAGACCTTTCTTCTTCTGTTTTTTCATTCAGAATGCAATGCCGCCTTGGCTTGTAACGCCGACAGCGCGTCAGCGGCTGCAGCCTTGCAGCTCTCTGCCGACTCGGCCTGAGCAAAGTGGCCCAGTGGCACGAGCCTGTCGTTTCTTGCTCTCAACTGAGGGTAAAAACATGTAACAACCCATTCCATTTCTGGTACCTCCTTCATTCATCCTACGAAATCTCACCTTTCATGAGACATTGCAAAGAAAGAAAGGTTAGATTTTGACGAAGGAGGGAATAGATAGATAATATTGGCAAAACCAGCCCCTGGCACGAGCAGTGCGCCAAAATAGACTGTGGTACTTCTGAGGTGCTGAAGACCTCCTTTTTCTATCCGCATTCCAAGCGGCTGCCACTTGCGAGGCAGCCTTGGCCTCCGCAGCTGCTTGTGCGTAATTCTCCGCGGAGGAGACCTTGCCATGCAATGGCTCCCGTTACGGCCCGTTATTAATGATATTGTGCTAATCCATCGCTATTAGGTTGGAGGCCATCGCTATTAGGTTGGAGGCCATTGCTATTCACCTCAAAATGACTCAGGGCTGAGAAAATCGAGTCATTGAAGGTTGAAAAGCGGATTTCTCAAAACATTCCCGAAATGTCAGCAAATTGAGGACGTCAACCAGGCAATGATGCATTGTGTGCGTGTTGGCTCAAGTGCCGGGCATTGCTTTGTACAGAAGCCAAGGCATTGGTGGTTGCCAACATGTGCCCGGCGGTGGTTTCTACCTTGGTCGACAATCAACCAAGTGACCTGAACCAGTGAACCAGTGACTGAACCAACAAAAATGCTGATCTTCCATTCTTCCATAGAAAACAAATTCCGAGCGATTCCGATCCATCTGATTCTTAGTCATTAGTCTGCCTATCTTTATTGACTCCGCTACCAAACGCATCTGACCACAACAGGGTGGTTTCCTTCAATAGTAACTGGAAAGAAAACAACATGGCCAAATCCTGGAATTGTCGAAGCTGCTGCTTGCTCTGCTGCTGCTTTGGCTTCGAAGGCCTTCTGCGCATGGTTCTCAGCAGTTGCTGCCTGTCCCATAACAAAAGGCAGGATGAAATATGATGAAATCACTCCATTTTCCTTGGCCAAGAATAACAATCAAACTCATTGCGGTTTTGCAAAACGCTGCCATGTCATTTGCAAGGCGTTTGCAGTCGAGGCACTACATTGTGAAGGACCTGCACTGCCTCACGCGCCTCTTGCGCTTGGCTCTCCGCACTGGTCGCCTCAAGTGCGCTAGTCATACAATGGTGACTCATGGACGGAACCTGATTTAACCCAAAGCTGAAAGAACCTTCTAAATGATAGGTCGTGTAAGCCATTACCTTTCGCTACTGCGTTCGACTACCCTCGCCTAGCAACTCGTGGACCTAGCTACCCCAACCTGAAACTCTAGCAAAAAAGGATTTAAGAAAAGGTCTACATAAAGGTCAGTAAAAAAGAAATTAAAACAAGTATCAAAGGTCTGTCTTGACCTTTTGACCTTCCTTTTTTTCGCAAACCACACCTTTATATACCATCGGCCTTGCGCCGAGGCACTGCGGTCACCACCGCCGTGGTCGCCCGCTGTGCCTCCTCCGAATGGCTCTGTGCCATCTCCACCTGTAGCAGCGCTTCAAAGAATTCGAGTTTCGAGTGAGTGTATAGTGAAATGATCTAGATGTTTATATGCACTACGTTGTTGACTGTGATTTTAAATCCTCTGTGGAATAACCGGTGGGGGTTGAGAACCCCATTTTATAGTGATAAATGACTGAACCAGGCTCTGGGAGCACAATGCCACACTATAGAATCTAGCTTTCAACCCTTGTAGTGTACAGCATAGTTTCTCTATAGAATAAAGGGAGTCAACCTTTAAGGCACTAATGTAACAGAATTGTAGGCTCAAAATCTGAATTATCCAATAGAAACAGCCAGGGGTGGTCCTCATTCTATAGACAAGTGGGTGTAACATCAAGGCTGATATATTATTTTAGAGGAAAGTTGCGCAGCAATGGCAAAAGAGGTTGGCATTTTATTCTATAGAAACATGATTGAACATTGCAAGGCTGAAATTCATTTTATAAAAACAATATTGGACAAAAAATGACACTCCAAAAACAAGATATGTCTATAGAGGTTGATATGCATTTTATAAAGACAGGGTTGGACACTCACAGGTTGATATTTTTTTAGAAAGGTGGGCCGAATGAACAAAAAAATCATTTTATAGTGGGCCAATATTCACCGGTTATTCCACAGGAAATGTGGGAATGCATGCACCAGATTGCACAAGAATGCGCCGGATATTTCGTGAAATCAGAATCAGAATCCAACCTACCTCACTGTAAAACATCCATCCACTCTAAAGTAAACTCTCAACCTTCTACTGTTCCAGGTTCTCTCTATAGAATCAAACCCATGTCCTCTATAAAATGTCCTCAATTGTCATGTATTCTCTATAAAGTGAGGGTGATCAACCTATTGACCCATCAATATATGATTTTCTCACCTCAGAGATCCTCAGAGTGGATCTGTCTCAGGTAGGTTGACATTTGATTCTAGAAAAAACTATCTATAAAATGCCAGGTCACTTTGGAGCTCGACCTCCCCCATTCTATAGGGGTTATTCGGCAGAGGATGATTTTAACGTATATCATAGCCGCCAGACGAGTGTCTCTCTTTCTGGCGGGCGTCGCGGCACAAGACACATGGTCGGCAGCTTGCGAGTCAGCGGTGCCGCGGATGCCGGGGGGGCGTATGTAATGGTGATGGAGGGGGCAAAGAAGGAAGCCGTGCGGCTTTGGGATAAGTTTGGTATGAAAGATGTGTAGGAATCATCACAAGGCATGCATGTGTTTGTCACACGCAGGAAGGTATGCATCTTATGGAAGTTGGAAGGCAACATCAGCGTTAGCGGCGGGAAAATACCGTCTGAGTTCGAGTGGTGGGATACCACGTGCGCGCGCAGGAAGACCTTCTCCATGGTCAGTGTCGCCGCGAGTACGGCATGCCTTTGAAAAGAAGCAGCTATGTTATGTGTTTGTTACATTTGGAGTGTTTGAAGTTTGCAGTGCATACTGCGGCACGTCGAAAAGCGGCATTCATTGATTTGGAAGAGTGAACGGGCACGTCTTAGCGGGACACGGACGTTTGATCCCGCGGCGCAGAAGGGGAGGTCCAGCGGGAGTAGCAGTCATGTTCTGGCTCGATCCAAAACTTAAACGATCCAAACAATGCGGCTGCGGTCCGCTCTGCACGTGGGTCCCTGTCTCTCCACTCGATTGCTCAATGCCCATTGTCCAAATAGCTCAAAAGCCCGTCATGATGCTAATGATGCCGGCGTCCATTACATCACTCGCAGCACCACACCCCATTTTCACTGCTTTTCTGACCCCACTCTCCCCCACCAAGCTCTGGGTTCAACCTATCAAAAGGTCCTCCTCAGCGACCACCCCCCCACACACCCTTAACTCACTTCGTTCGCCCTAAAAGCTCAAGCCTAGCCTATCGGCTGGCTTTCGTAATTGAAATTATATCAAAGCCTTAGACCCGTTTCTGCCTTTTGTTGACAGAACAGCCTTTCAAATGCATAGCGTTTGCCATTTCTGCGTCTTGAGCGTTTTGAAGTTCGGAATCGAAGGGCCCGTTGGCTGCTAGCAACTTGGGTTGTGAATGCGTTCTTGTCCAGAAGAAACGAAATTTAATTCTTGTTGTGGCCAACCCGGTCTGCTACTTACCTAAAACACCTGTTTAAACTGGAAAAAAAGTCTTTGTGTTCGGCTCTTTTAGCCCAAGGAGCTGCTTTCGCTGCTCCGGCATTCGCGTCTTGACAGCTTTTCACCTAAAAAACGCTGAGGTCTTCTCAACCGCGCAAAAAGTAAACGTTCACACAGAAAAGTTGAAAAGATCTTCTGTAATGCCTTAGTACTAGGAACAAGAAGCTACTAGGGGCTCCTGGACTTACTACTAGGAACAAGGGCCTTACTACTAGGAACAAGAAGCTAGTAGAAACAATAAGAAGCAAATTTAATAAAAAGAAAAGAAAGGACAACAATTCGTTCAATGTTTTTCACCATATCTCACCCGTCGAGCCGATGCTGGGCATCCGACAGCCTCAGAGACACGCGACTCGAACAAGGCCCGCTGCTGATCCATCTTGGCCGCCTCGCTCTGCTCTGCTGCTCTGCTCTGCTCGACTCGTCTGCTGGCTCTCTTTAGTCGATTTCGTCAACGACATGTCCACAGTAACCAGATGTAACAAACAGCAACCAGCCAAGTCTCGACCCCTCTTTCACCCAATTCAACTTCAAGTCTTGATACGTACAGAAAACTTTAAGCGCCAAGCAGAGCTGGAGACCTCTTCCAAGGCGTTCTGAATCTTGGCGGCCTCCTTTTCGTTGGCCACCATCTCAGTGAACAAGGTCTGAGAGGTCAATGGCAAAGATCAAGTCCAAACAGCGTTCCAACAAAAGCGGGCGTTCTTCTTCCTAGTCGAAAGCTGAGGTGAAGAATTGGATAGGTCCAATGCTTGGCTGTTCTTCGGCTTCCGAAAAAGATCTAGGAACCAAGTCATTAAGGCTCCTGCTTCAAAGAAGCCTGAGCCCTTCTGCGTACCAGGTACTAGTAGTACTAGTAGCTACAAGTAAGTTACTTCAGCTCCTACTACTGATGGCCTCCAACCTACTAGCTACTTGTAGCTACTTCAGCTCCTAGTATCACAAATGCTGCAACTCTTACGGCCTAGTATCCCCTCCTCGCTCTCGCAAGTGCGACCACAGCTCCAGACAGCAGCATTGATGGCGTTGACTGTTGTGGATGGGTCAGGCCTGGGAGCTGTGGGTGATTTTCAAGGCCACAGCGCAACCACTTGTTGCACTTCTATAAACGGTTGGAAACGATCCGTCCTAAGTTTGGCTTCCCTGCTGCTGTTGAAACCTCAACTCCAAGTCATCCAACTTCTTCCCCACGACCTTGCGGTGTGGATTGGGAGAGACACAATCACATCAGCCAGAGGCAAATCAAGGCTACCAGCAGAACGGCCTCGTGCAGCTCCTCCATCTTCTTTACTTTGCCGTCCTTATTGAAACAACTTGACGAGGTTCAGGCCCCCACAGGAAGACCCTGAAAAACGCATGAGTAGTCTCAAGCCTCCAAGAAACAATCTTTAGACCTTTAGAACCCTTTAGACACAAGAGACTGAAACTGTCCACAAGAGCGTTTGCAACTGCTCCTGAGCTGATCTGTCTTCTTCCATCTTTTGCTTCAGCCTCGGCGATCATCCATAGCGCGCCCACAGCCACCACTTGTTCCACAGCGCCAAGTTGCTCATCCCCCAAGCTTGCCATCTCTTTTCTTATTCTTGCAAGCTCCTGAGAGATTTCCGTCTTGCTTGCCAGAAACGCACAGACATATTCATCTTTGAGAACATCTTTGTTGCCACCAAGAACATCTTCTACATAATCGTGTCCCTGTGTCCTTCAGATCAAAGCCATCTAGTGAAAAAGGTCTCGGGGACCAAAAATAGAAAGTAAAAGTGAGTTCTTGAAAACTGAAGCTCCTCTGTCAAGGACGAACGACATTCCTGCACCTCGTCAACACATTCAAACACGACGTGCACGAGCTCTGTGAACCTCTGGACTTCCCACACTCTGTCAAGACACAGAAGAACCTCTGTCGTCTAGTCACGTCTAGTCGGCTAGGCCCCCTTGCGACTTTGCTGCTCGCTGCCTCACGAAGTGAACGAGTCAACCGAACTCTCCAAGCGAAGAAAACAAAGGAAGCGACCCAGAAGCGACACGAAGTCAACGTGTTTTTGAGAATTACCTTCTTCCAAATGGACTGCTTGAAGCGTGTTCCCTTGATGAGACTTGCTTGCACAAGTATATAATTTCCGGGTTTCCCTGAACCTCTTACCTCACTCTTGTTTCTTTCCTTTTTTGTAGGTGTTTGATCCTGTTTGTCTGTTCTTCTTGTCTCTTGTCTTCTTGTCCATTCTACAAAAGTCGATGAGAGGCGCTTGGAATGCTTTCTGTTTGAAGTGGCCCTTTCAACAGTTTTGGATTGACATCTAAGTCGGGTCTGTTTCGCACCTCAATGCATCCTTTCGTCTCAATGCTGAAATCTTCGCGCCTCCAAGATCAATCAAAACGGACCGGGTTCGTTCTTGTTGTAACGTACTTGATCGATATGGAAGGATATAATTATCTGAAAAAGAAAATCACACGATGAAAACACAGTGATCATATTATGACAAACATAAATTAAATATCGTTGTCAAGTCGATTTGTTGGTGAGACGGTCAGCACTGAGCCCAGCACATCTCGTCGATGACCCTTTTGGTATCAGCATGGTCGATGGCATAGGTCGCCTCAGTGCTCGCGATGAATCATACGATATGATTGAATCGATGTTTTTCTTTCCTTATTTTGGACCTTCAGACTCTACTAGTAGCTTCTTGTTACTAGTAGTAAGGTGCCTTGATACTACTAGCTTCTTGTTACTAGAGCCTTCGTCATGTTGGACCTTCAGACTTTACTAATATTTGTCGTTTCGCTGAAGAACTGTAAGCGTTGGCGTATAATTGTCCGTGATCATTCTCGCTGAAAGAGTCTGAATCATAAGAAATTGAAAGCCGGGTCGGATTGAAAGCCGTGACGGTTCCGGGACTTGGAAGAGAAAGCCTTGTGGTCCTCAAAGTGCGTGATGGCTTCACGCAGCGCAGCAGCCTGAAGATCCTCGGTGTGTCGCCCGTGCATCAGGTGACAATCTTCGGTTCAAATCTTCGCAACTAGGAGCAAAGGGCATCGCTAATAGAAACAAAGAAAAAAAGAAAAGGAAGGTGAAAAAGGATCCAAACAGGTGTAAATCTTCTGCTCTTCGCTTTGGATCCTTTCATCAATCTCTCTATCAGGCTCTATCGCAAGAGCTTCGCTCACATGGCCATTTTCCCCGTTTCACCGTCTTCGCAGTTCTCAAATGGTTGAATTACAGGTTTGAAATTGAGGATGAGCTACTCCTTTGAAAAGAGCATTAGAAAATATGAGAAGTCGTCTCATAAGTCCGGCGATTACGCCAGTCTCTTAGAAAAGCAGCTGCCCAGCTGACACCAAAATCAGAAAGAAGTTCGCCACAAGGTTTGAAGCAGCACTGATACCTTTGGTGTAGATGTATCCATGTAGATACAGGTAAACGACCGATAACTACCAACAAGTCGCACCTGGTTTTCCTTGAGCCAAACGGTAGTAAAGTGAGACATGTATACGACATCCTAGCGTGAAACAACACCCCCCGCTGAACGAAAATGGGAGGAGTGAAGTTATGTACAGTGCATTAATTAAGGACCTACGAAGGTATCCGGTCCCCCGGTACGTGCGAAGCATCGGACCGGAACAGGCCTTGAGATGGAGAGGATGGTTGACCTCAAGGACGGATCACATATTGCACTGTCATGTTTTGATGCTAGGGTTGAACATGTCTCAACTGATTCATGCATGAAAGTTCAAAGCAAGCTCACAAAGATAATCTCTTTTGCGCAGCGGAACTGGGAGTGCAATGCCAACCTTTTAGAAAGCAGGAACAAAGCCATCAAGGCACACGCTCCCGCGTGGCGACAAAGCACAACAAAAGATGTGCGCTCTTTGTTGCATGGATTGAGAGCCAAGTTCATCGACCTGAACTCAAACGAATTAGCTGCTGGTTTCAGGCAACCGGTCCCCCGGTGCATCACAGAAACGGTCATCCAGGCAACCGCTCCCGCGGTGCGTTGAGGGAAAAAACACAGTGCACAAAGACAGCTGAGTCACCCGTAGATTTTATTCTCTTCTCCACAGGCAACAGCTCCCGCTGTGCGTCGTGTTCACCACCTGCGCTGACTCCACCAGTCGTGTCCTCGCCAGTCACTGCCACGACCGCGATCATCTTGCCACCAGTTGCGGTTAGATGAGGACCACCAGGAAGACGATGAGGATGACTGCTGCCAATCATGGTATTGATCACTTCCGGCAGCTCCTCGCCAGCGTTGCTCTGATGTCTCGGCCTGAGTACGTGTTGCTCTGGCCAGACTTTCACCTGGACCTGGTGCGGCCTTGGCCTTGGGAATCACAAGTGCCCTTGTTTCTTTCACAAGGTTGATATCCAAGCCAGGTACAAATTGAGCATCGCCCATCACGAATTCCAGGAGTTCATCCAACACATCATCAGGGTCCGTCTTCTCACTTCGCCACTCTCCTCCAAATCCCAGGATTGCGGGTCGTTTTGCACCTTGGCAATAGTCCGCAGCGAAAGTCTCAGGACGGTGCAGCCTGTTCTTCCAATAAATGAAGAAGTCCTCGCTCAGGTCAGCATCATTTCCTTTTGCTGGTTCGTTCATGAAGATGACCTTGCCAGCGTATCGATGACCGATGCCACGAGCAATCATTTCCCTTGTCCTCGGAGGGTCAGGGATGATGGCATCTGACAATCGTTCCAGGAATTGAATGCAGATTGGAGAGAGGTCCTGGGCTGCACAGTTGAACGCGTAGAAAGCGTCAACCAGCTGTCGCTGCGATACCGTCATGGACATCTTGTCCGCCTTCTGGACATGGCTTTTGGCGTTCGCTTTCAAGATGTTGATGCCCGAACGAGAAGCACGTTGAACTTCATGGCCAGGCGTCCCCGCCGGCGTCCTCCTCACACCTGTTCCTTGCAGCCTGTCCTCAGGTACCATATCCATCGTGACTTCGATACCGAGATCTGCCGCAATTTCCTCGATCCGAATGAGCTGAGCAGCTTTACACAGATCCGAGGCGTTGTTGAGGAAGGTGCCGCATGTGATGCAGGACATCATGCCATGGGTGTAGGTATTTGTGCACGTTGGGCACTGAGCTTCTGGCATCTGAATGCCCTCAACGACCATCCATCGAGTGTTGCCAAAACCCTCAGTCTCGGGGTGGATCTTGCGCCAATCAAACCGAGGTCGGTTGTAGTTGGGCAGCATCTCTTTGGGCGACACTTGGTTCCTGTAGGCGTTGAAATTGGGCCTGCGAACGACATACGTGACCTCGTATGTTTCCAAATCAGGATTCTGCTTTCCTGATATCATTTGGTCTTTCACGCCTGGGCGTTCAAACAGTTCACCGTACACGAATGGGGAAAAAGTGTCCACCTTGCCACACCACCTCTCATAGTCACCAAGGACCTGGTAGGTGTACTTCTCCAGTGGGCTTTTCACCATTTCATCGTCATCGGCAACTGGTCCCCCAGTGCGTGCTGAATTGAAGGCTTTTGTTTCACCGGTAATGATGCCGCGATAGTGTGCGTACACATGGTTCGCGAAGGCGTAGCATCGGGACTCCATGTCATACACGTAAATCACGTTCCGGTTTGCCAGCCAGTCAGGGCATAGGATTGTACCAGCAGTTGTTTCAATGAGCCGGTGCCCGTTCAAAATCATCATCTGGAGATCCAAGGCAACACAGATGGGGCGTGTCGCCGCCATCGCTGCATAGTCAGTGCCTGAAATTGTCCACGGATCTTCCTTCGTCAAGAATGTGAACCTGGCTCCAGTCCGATTGCCGCCGGGAATCAATCCCATGTTGATGATCTCGACCAGTGCTGCCCGGTGCGTGTAGTGATAGAGGATGGTAGGGGCCACCTCCTTCACCTTTCCCAGCGCACCTTTTGGAACTCGAGGGAATTTGCCGGCCAGGTATTCCACCGAAGTATACTCCTCATCGAGGGTAACAAAGCGTTCATGCTCAGGAAGTGCATCCTTCACGTTGTTGTTTGACCATTCATTATGGTTCTGAATCGCTTTGACCCGAAGAGGTGTATATTGGTATTTTCCACCGACCAAAGTCCCCTTTGGCGCAATCCTCACCTCAAGCATGAATCTGTGATTGGATGTGATGACCGTCAGCAGTTCATCGTTGGTAAGGTTGACATCGTACTTTCGCTTGATGAACGAGTACACCTTGCCAAAATCCATCCACAGCCCAGCATCGAAGCTCGGAGGCTGCACCTTATGCCAGGATTGTCTGCTATGCTCCCATCCTCGGAGCAAGCCCGAGACACGTCGGGAAATCCAGACTTGTTTCGAGTTCAGGTTCGCCAAATTGGCAGCACCCGGAACCGATCTTGACTGCAATGCCACAACTTCGTTTTCCCCAAGAGGCGACGAAACGGAAGGCACCGGTGGTGCCTTAGGCATGGCCTTGGCTTTGACAGCTGGTTTTTCTGTCGGGGTCGAATCCGAGGCCACAGCTCCCGCCGGGCGTTTTGGTACTTTGGGCTGAGTTTCCTCTGTTGGCTTCATTTCAACATCGGCCTCAGCTCCCGCCGGGCGTGATTTTGCTTTCGGTGATGCCGGTTTAGTCTTTGACTTTGCAGTCTCATGTGGCGCTTTTGGCGCCCCCGGCTCACCTGATGCTTTCGCCTTCGGGATTCTCGGTTGCGGTGCCTTGTTGGCCAGGTCAGGCTCGTTCCCCAAAGTGGTAACCTCGCGGAACTTTCTGAGTGCCTCACCAGTGAGCTGCGGGATGTCTTCTTCTGCCATGTAGATACGAATGACATCGCTTTCATCCTCCTTCTTTCTCAACTGGTAGGTGACACCCGCGACCTGACATGAGTCGGCATGCATAGATGTGAGGATCGGTTCCTTGAAAACAATTTCTTCATCTGAGTCATCATCTGGCTGATCTTTGTTTTCAAAGCCCTGTTTGATGGCGGAATCAAGGTGATCCTTGAGAAGTTCATTGACGTAGTTTTCATCCGCAATGGGTTCATTGGATACATGGAGCTCCTCTTCTTCCGTGATGGTCACAGGGTCCACCTCGGTGTCACCGTGCTTTGGCATGTCAACGGTGACAGACACGAACTCCATGCCCGGAGTGTTCACGGGAGCCTGGTTGTTTGCATCTCGGCCTTCCGTCCCCGGAGGCGAATCAGCGCTGGGCGCAAAGGTGTCGTCAATCTCAATGACTTCCGGCACACTTGCATCCGGCATTGTCTGATCAGCCTTCGACGATTCAGCCGGGACTTGCACATCCTGACCCTCGTCATAGAAATCCGGACCAACGGTTCCCCGTGGCATGTTGTAAAGTCGCTGATTGAATGGCAAGAGCTTGGCAGCTTCAATCTGCTCCTTGGTCGCGTAGACTGGGTCCCCAAAATCATCCATGTGAGCGACCTCAGTAGTCTCAGAGACCGTCAGGAGCCAGCCATTCTTCTGGTCGATGGCAGTCTGCCGCTTTTGACCCGGGAGAAGCTCATCGTGCTCGTCGAAGTCACCCAAAAACAGGTACCCGGAATCAATGCGTCGCTTCCAGATGTGCTCAAGCATATGCTGGCGGTGGGTCTTTTCCCCACGAGGTTTCGCGAAGAGGTTGGCATCTTTGCGCAACACGTCAACGCCAGCGAGCACCCAGTAGTGGTAGGCGAACAGAGCAACATTTGCGTAGTACTTCACGAACATCGCCCGGTTCTCTTCCGTGTTGTGGCAGTGGAAGTTATCGTATCGCTGACACGATCGAACCAGGGTGGTGCCTGTCACATTCGTGACGCCAAGGCGAGTGAAGACATCCGCTGATTGGCACATTTGACGGGCGTATTCTTCCGGCAGTCCATAACTCTGCGAATCGCAGTAGCAGATGACGATCAGGGCTGCCACGTCTTTCCTCTGTCTCAAGTCCGCCAAACGCCTCATCTGCTGGGCATGTTTCTGTGCCAGCTCTGCCTGCCACTCATAGGCCGCCCTCTGC